GTCGTTTTTAGACATTTTCCAAAGTCATAACAGATATAAAGCTATTTTAACTTTAACGATTGTTAAAGTGAGTAGCTATTAATAACGATTTATCATGGTTTTAAAGGTGAACAGAGTGATAATAAAGATATCAATATTTATGTAACGCGTTGTTAATGTTGTGCGTGGAATGTGTATGAAAGCAATTTTTGTCAAAATGCTGGTACAGAATTTGGTTATGATCTTAAGGGAATAATAAATACCCTGTTCTACTCTCGCTTTAAATGTTTCTAGCAGATGAAATAGTCAATTCTAGACAGAATATCGATTCTCTATCGAGCAGACTTTTTATTTTTTTTTTAGTTTTGCAAATTTGCGCGCGCAAAATTTAAAAATTGAATTCTTTTTCAATAGACTTAATTTACAGACCTTTAAATTCATTTATCTAAATTCGAAATTTCAATGTATAAGAGAGGGACCTAAGTAGAAGCCTTGCGATACACTTTAGAAGATTTCTTTTACACGTTATCTAGGCATTGGTGCCTAAAAAAGAAAAAGTATTTAATCTCAATTTCACTTAACCAAACATTTTTTTCCACCAAACGACTGTCATGAGAGTCTTAAATCATTTGGCGAGCTGGGATTTATTTTTCATTCCGTCAGTGCGCAGTAAATGCTGTTTGACAGACAGATCTATTGAATTTCATTGTTCCTCTAGACGAGAGACGTCGTTTTGTGAATGTGATTCCGTTTTAGAAACTTTCCCGATTGTTGTTTGAAAAATAAAACTCTAACAGTTGGAATAGTAAGTAATGACTCACTTTTTCTTATTTTTATTTAAAAAATGAGTTACTCGAGCGCTGAATGCGACCCGTTGTTGGTCGGGTCGGAGGAAGCGGAATCTTCTTATCCTCATTTTGTGTTTATTATTCGGAATATCACAGAACAATAAATATAGTAGAAGTGGTTAGTTAGATTCTGACGCGTGCTCACATAGGTCTCGAAAGACCTATCTGAACTCAGTCCGCCATTTTAGCTTTTTATGATATGGTTGTGTCATTCTTTCGTGCAAATTCTCTAAAATTCTAGAATAATATTTATTGTGCTGTTTTGGAGTGCAAAAATGATAGCCGCACCATAAATATTACCCGTACTGATATTTCATATCATCGGTAGGTCTTATTTTAATATATTTTCAATTTTGTGTTTATCGAAATAATTTTTTTGTTACAAGAAACGAAAGTAAAGCTTATACCCCTGCAATATGGTCGCTTCTTTTTTGGAGAACTAAATAACTCCAATTCGTCGTCGTTCAGCAATTAACCGCTAGTTGGCAGCACATGATTGAAATTTCAATATAATAGCACCGATGACCACAAAAATCTTTAATGCGATACTGTTTTATGTATTTCTACTTATTATAGCTAGGTATGTTATAAAAAATAAATTAGTAAAAAGTATTTTTGTTTTGTGTGTATGTTACGCGATTATTGTGACATTTGTGAACTGAAGGGGATGGCCCTGTGGCTCTATAGTTGCCCTATTAAAAATTTTAAAAAGTACGCCTCTAAGGGTGGTAAATTAGGGGATTGAATTTCACCCACTTACTGTTGACAGATTTCAATAAAAATTGGCACAAAGATGTTATTCCAATGAAAATAAAATGCAATGCTAAGTTATCATCAAGAGGTGATCTAATGATGGAAAAAGCAGACAAATGAGAGGTACTGCTCAAAAGTGTCAGTTACTTTGTGTTTGAGATCGTATCATTCGTACTGACTGGGACTTCCAAATGCGTTTCAGTTATAGTAGAGGAGGCCGCATTAACGAACACTGCCAAAGCGAATTAGCAAACTTTTGAGGTCAGTTTTTTGTTTTACAAAACGTTATAATTATTTACGACAATCAAGTTACCAAAATATAACGTATTGTTAGTCAATCAGGGTCTTAAGAAAATAAAATTATAACACTTTACAAAAAAAACCAACCCCAAAAGTTCGTGGAATTAAATCTATTGTAGTTAGATGTGGAATATTTTCTTCAAATTTAAATGGGACCAATACTGAGTTACCCTCTTTTCAACAAAAAAACAAGTTCTTTTTTATTGCTAACTGAATAAGATAAAATCATAAATGGATATTCGCCCATATTCGTCCTTGTGCGCGCACAGGTGTATGCTAAGGAGATAAATAAATATTAGATAACATCACATACATTGTCATGCAATAGTAAGTAACTAAAGCATTTGTGTTATGGAAATTGAAAACAACGACAAACACTCAGGCCCGAAACCACAGATCAAATAAATTCCGTGCCCGAAACAATTTAAAACAGTTAGTTTTCCATAGTGACCCGGCCGCGGATCTAATCCGGGAAAAACGATGTGCAAGCCACTCAACAATGGAATCAAGATAGCAATAGTTAAGATGTAAACATCGTGATGAACCTGCACTTCGATGAAGGTTCACTATCGTGGCGGACCACCATCTAAAACCCGCGCCTAAGTCGAGACTCGTGCCCAGCAGACGTATAAATGGGTTGATGATAATGAAAATAGAAAGAAAATGCATTTATTAAATTATCACAAACATCGAGAATTTAATCAGAAATAGAGACGAAATGTCATTTAATTTGTTTGAAAACTGTTCCGCCGAATCATTACTACGCTCCAATTGGCCAGCCCGAATTCGAAACAATTGACGGGTGTCGTTAGTACAATACTTTATTTAGTCGAGAATATGTAGCTTTCCGACTTTTTCTTTTGTATTTAAACACCGTTTGTAGTAAACATATTAAATAAAGGTCATGCATTAATACAAAATACTAAACGGGTAAAAAGTGTACTATCCCTTTTGCCTTGAACCTTCCAACCTCAGCCCATGCCGAGAATTATTACCAAAATTCAATGTTTTGTTAGTTAATGCACTTTTATCAGATAGCATACAGACCAAACATTGTCATGGTGTGCAATCATATTTAGTAAACTTGACATAAATCATAAAAACATAGCATTGCACTCACCTTTAATTCATTTTAATTTTTTAGCGCAAGAACTTATACTCGTAGAGACTCCTGTATACTCGGCTAACTCCTGCCACACTTCGTGGCGTCCTTATTTGCTTGCGGTGGGAGTGAGCGCTACTCGTAATCATGGTGCCTTACTTTTGCTTTAGTACAAAGTATATTAAAAAGCCCATTTTGCCCACCATAATCTTTATCTACTTTCTCTATATCTACATTCGATGCCTTTCTAGAATAGTGGCCTATCTTAAAATTATCTAATTCATCAAGAACATGGTTTGAAATAAATTGAAACGTGTCTATCGCACAAATCTGACGAATTGTAGACCACCTGAATGTTGTCATGTGATTATTCTAACCAATGAAAAGCTCGGAGGCCCATTCATAATAACATTTTGTGTTTTCAGAATAAATCTGAGTAGTAGGGCAAAAAGGATAAATTCTGGATAGTTACTCAACACTAATAACTAACAAAAGCAGCCAGTATTACGGGCGTATCCTAAATAGTAGAATAACCTACCAATAGTAAAACAAATTTATTAGGAGCTGTTCGAAAATGTCCAACGGTTTTAGTACAATTAGCCTTCCCGCGACAAGCAGTCGGTACTCCTCGGGCCATTCTGCTGAAGTGATGTCCGGAGTTGGTGTAGTTTCACAGGGCTCAGATAACAGCCGTCCGCTGAAAGAATGTCTGGGGTAGGGTTGTGGAAATTTCTGGGCTTCATTGCGGAGAACGGCCTGTAAGGACCGGGAACCTTGGACTCGGGAATACCTATTTACTCAGTTAACAACTTTCCACGGTACTCCCCTAATTGTGATAACGGCAAATAATAAAAAGAAGAAAAAAAGTCACAGTCAGAACGGAGTTACAAGGGGAAATGACTAAATTACGAAACAAAGAACATTACACAGTCAAAATAGACAAACATTACAACAAAAATATCTGTAGAACAAAAATTGAAATAAACGCTACAATAGGCAAAAGAAAGTACTCAGTAGTACTCATATTTCGCTGTAGTAGACTTTTAAAAAGATATCCATTCTAAGACCGATGCAAGGTGAAATGACTTGTAAATATTATACGCTCAAACTTTGAAGAACGCAAAAAGAAATTAAGACTCAAAGTTGTTCACTAAACGATGATCACTAGTAAAAATTGTACCGATTGAACCCAAAAAAGGTTTTGTAAATACGAGCACATAAAAGTAAATAAGTCAATTTGTAGAAAATGCGGCTACTAAAGTCTCAACAATTACTACTTGTTTACCAAATGAGATAAACTTTAACATTATGATGGATGCACAGTTTTGACAGACCTCTCAATAATGAACGGTACAGGCAGAAAGAGAAATCGAAAACATATAGGAATATGTTTAAACACACATTATAAAAAGCTGCTAATACTGCATGTTATATAAGTACATAGGGTTATTTGTAAAATACTGTCAATTTAGCTGGAGTATTACTAACATCATAAACAACAGCTTTTGTTTCATAATTTTTAATAATTCATCTGATTTACTTTCGTACATAAACAAAAATATTTAAATGAATCATTCTAAACAGTCTAAATTGATAACTCTGCGCGGTGGCAAAAGAAAGCACGCGAGAGGCGTTGCTAAACAGCTTACTACCAAATACAGATCTATAAAATGTGTTAGAGAGTAAAACAAAAACATAAGTTTCTTTTTGGTAAAATTATTATGTTTTGTAAAACATAATTGAACTAAAGTTTTTGTTTATGATATCATATGATATCAAGTAAAAAGTCGCTGAACACACGAATACTGCAGGATTGTAATATGTAGATTTAATTTAGTAGTTAAAACGAAACTTTAGCGATGAAAATTTAAAGTCCAATATGTTTTACGTCTTCGAATGAGTATTACGATAGGTGCGTAAAATGTATAAAAGATAAAGATTATACATTAATCATTCATCCCGTTTGTCTTCCTGTCAGTACTTGTGTTTCCCGAGTGTGACGGTGTCAGTTGTCGGCGAGATCCCGCGGCGCATGACCGCCTGAGACGCGTGTGACGCGAGTGTGTTGTGCGTGAGTGTACCGTGTCCTAGGTGCTTAACTTTTACACGTACTTTAGTGTCGATGCGTTTGTAGATAGTTTTGTCAGTAAGTGTTGTTTTTAACTTTGTTAATTATTAATTACTAGTACTTGTAGATAGTATATACTAGATAGTCAAGTTAAATGTTTAAATAAAAGGTATATATATAACATAATGATGTTAATGTGACCAACTTTTTGTACTAAGTTACAACATATATGCCTAACTTACGGCTGCCGTATTAATATAGTTAATATTACACGACATACTTAATCCAAAACTTGATTTATGATTAATAAAGTATCAATAATTTATTATTCATTCCTGTCGTAATTTAAAGTTCTTGTTTTTCAATAACATACCCGACCTTACTTTATACTCGAGTATTACTTTAAAGTATACTTAAGTTGGGTAAAACTCGACCAAAAGTCCTAAGGTCGCATGGTCCACCTACTAAATGTTAGTGTACTAACTTAAAATTTGTCAAACTTCAAGTAAACATATATAAATAGCTTTTTGTTAAAATATTTATTCTTTTATTAAGCTCTCAGGCTTTGGTAGAAAAAAATTCATCAAAATCAAACTGTAAGTCTTGTTTCATCGAACAAACGGAAGAAAATATTATACTTTTAAAAATTCTTATAATATAAAAGAAAACAAAGAAATATGTTGACATCAAAGTGTTTAGCGATTAAGATTTTTTTCCAATTTAAAAAAAAATTGTATTTATTTGTTTTTCAAATTATGAAATTGACCAAAAAAAGCACTGGTGCTAAAAAAGAATAATATAAAAATCTGATTTTCAGTAATTGGCAAAAACGTGCTTGATCCCTAGACATTTTAGATGAGTGTAGATAGAAAATATTGTCAAGGCCGAGTTTTGGAATATCATGTCCTTGGATGGCAATGTTTCCGCCTAGTTTATTATTTGGCTGAAGTACCTGCCAGTCTTCTGGTCAGTGGAAGCTTCAACGAGGCGACAGGACAAAGAACAGTACAAAGCTGTGACACTGGCTAAGGTTGGCGTTTTCCAGTTTTTTGTAGGTTCTGGCTACTTTAAGAGCAAAAGCTGTGCTACTCAAGCTTACGTCGACATGGTAGGTAGGAATCCTCACAGATCGCATTTCACACTAGCTTTCTGCTCAGTTTCCTTCGAAAGAAAGTGTTATAAAACTTTAAATCCCTTTAGGATCGATTATCTTCCCAGGACGTTACCAAATTTTATATCCTTTGACATTTAATTTGAACATTAAAAGTTTACACATTTTACGCGTTTCAAACGGTTGTCAAATAAACGCTTGAACAATTATGAATCTGAATCTTTCAAAGGCGACAGGAAGTTCAATAGGTCTATACCAATGTAAGTAGTCTACATATAAATAGAGTACAATCGTCAACGCAAGTGTCACAATGTCATTAATATTACGTTTGATTATATCGGCTCTACGCTGTACACAACGACTAAGAATACTTCAAATCCAGGGTTGTTCCTACAACGCTGCTGTTTGTGTCGCCCGGTGCATGTAATCAAGAGAAATCAACCGCAAAGTGATAATTCTTAGTAATTTAAATAATAAAAGGAATTATGACTGGGGTAGAGTACGCTAGAGGAAGAATAAATATAGTATATCTTTATTTTATCATAATACTTATGGTGAAATACTGCAAACTTGTGACTTTTTTGTATTTTTATAATGGAATAAGTGCAAATTTGACATCCATCTCACCTGATGGAAAGTGACGATGAGTTCGACGATGGAGCATGTACACCTATATAATGTATACTTACTCTCACCTTGAAAAGGCCCAAGTTTTAGGTACCATTCAGGGAACAAGTCTGCGAGCAAGGAATTCCACTCCATAGCCGTTCGCCATATAAATGTGGAAGCGATCTCAAAACTCATTCATCCCTTAGTTTGCCACCATTATAAGTGAAATATTTTCTTCAAATTTAAATGGAACCCCTACTGAAGTACCTTCTTTCCAACAAAAAAGAATCATCAAAATCGGTCCACAAATGAGTTATTGCGCAACATACGTACAAAAAAATGCAGTCGAATTGAGAGCCTCCTCCTGTTTTAAAGTCGGTTAAAAATGGAGACATATCGTCCATTCCTTCGTTTGTCCATGCCATACAAGATGCTTATTGATATAGTTAACATTTGAAAGCTCTTTTGAAGAGCTCAATAGCCCTAAAAATAAAAAATTACAAAATTTTTCTCCTTTTCTGTAAATTTTTACAAATGTAACTTTACGTTGTTTCAACGGAAGTGGGATATTTACTTCTTTATTGCTGATTGTTCACTTTATATCAGTATCTTCACTAAAAAAAACTATAATGTCAATATATAAGAAAACACATTGTATTTTATGGACGACATGTATAGGAGGAGTGAGTGGACCATCCCACATTTCCAGTCATCGATATTTTTAGGGTAGAATAATAATTATTTGTAACTCCGGTCATTACACAGGGATGATAATATCCAATCCTAAAAAAAACATGTTTTTACAAATTTTTTGGATAATATTTCATCTCTTTTATTAGGAAACATGTAACATGAGTGAAATGAGTACGTCGTTTGTCTATGTATGTGTATAACGTAAACATAAAGTACACATCGACTGTGAACTTGCAATCGGTACTATCTCAATTTTGACAACTTTACAGGATGAAGGAAAAAATTGTTTGCATCATTCATATAGCATCTCGTTTATTAAATAAAAACGCGTAGTTTTTAAATATTTCTATTACACATACATTTATGTACACTATGATAAGTGATTTTTTCTTAATTCTGTAAAGTTGTAAAAATTGAGATAGTACCGGTTGCCAGTTCGCTGTCGATATGTCAAATTTCGGGATTATACTTGCACATGAGCTGGTAAAATCGCGCGCTAATAAACTTTCGCAGACTGAACGACTAATAAACTACGAATGAACGAACGGATTGTCGAAAATTCATTGCGAGTTACATTAAATATATCAATGAAATCCTGATTTAGTAATTTAATTTAATAGTCCTTATTTAATGATGTGGTAATAGGGTGCGCCTCACTTATACAAAAATTAAATAAACTAATTTCAAAACATATACAGTTCATTTAAAGTAATTTTTATTTGAACCAATCTCACTTCCTATAATTTACCTTACTAGTGAATGAGTATTTAATGAGTTTATAGGAAGTAAAATTATGCCAATTGAGCGTTATGTGAATAATATTTATATTATGTGTCCGTCGCAATACTAAAATTTACACTTGGGTCCACATGTCGTGAAATATTATGTGAAATACTAAACACGCTTATCATTATTTCATTTCAAATTAAACTATTTTTATTATTTGACAACCTCGGTGGCCTAACGGTTTAAATTGCGGGCGCTGGATGCGGAGGTCCTGGGTTTGATTCCATTTAAGAAATTAAGGTTTCTAAATTGGCTCTGGTCTGGGTGTTCTGGGAGGCGCCACAGAGTGCATTCCGTTGCTCTTGTACTCATAGTATAGGGAATTCCCTAATTTGAAACCAAACAATTGGTGTGATCCTCTGGCGCATTTTTTTTCGAATCTAAATCGCGCATTTGCCTTTCGCGTAATCTTGACTTGGTTGGTTCGGTCGGTTGGTTTTTTCCGCTATGACCTCCTGTAGCATTGAATAGAAGAAAAATCTAAAAATTTAAAAATTAATAATAGACATTGTCAAATGATAAAGAAATAAAAGAAAAAAGGAAATAAAAAAAGAAAAGGTTAACGAAAAGATTATTATATGAGAAGAGACAACGAGAACCCCTTTTGGAAATAAAGGTAAGGCGTGTTGCTTGCTTCTCTCCCGCTTCGATACTTCACCGTCATCAGACCCTATAAGACCTTCGTCTCTAGGTTCCCCATAACCCGAAACTCACCTCGTGCTTGTTCCGGTGGTTTTTTCCACAAGCTTCCGCGCTACCTTCGAGCCTTTGCTCCGAAACGGTGATTTGTTTGAAGATCCTAAAAAATAGTAATTTTTGCAATGTGTAAACCTAGCCTAAAAACTCAAAATGCTTATTTTCATTTATACAGAGTGAAGAGCACGTCTTGCTTGACATTTAATATTTGAATACATATCTATTCCTCTTGCAATAAAAACGATTCGAAGTGTCAAGCAACACAAGTGGTTTTCACGGGTAGAGCACAACGGAAAAGAAGAATATTAACTGTCATATTTGTCACACTCCTTGCCTTACTTGTATCCGTCTGTATTCACTTTCAACGAGAAATTACTCTGTATACGATTTAATTTCAAAGTGACCGGACAACACTGTCATACAAATAATGCAATTTTTGAGATAATACTATGTTAGTTGTAGTAGTATGTTAGTTGTCATGTACGATATCTACAGTATAAATTTTACAAAGAATATTAATTTGTTAATTCTATAAATAACTTCGTCACTTTTTATAATGTCACAAACAAATAAAGATCATAATAGTAATATAAACAACAACAATTTACCTAAGATCGTTTCCCAAATTGGTCCTACAGAAAATCGAGGCCCTCATCCAGCGTCCACAGTGCACAAGGTCGTTAATTAGAAGTGATTTTAATAGTCTTATTCAGTATAAAAAATTCCATGTATGGTACGCGATAACTGCATTTGTGAAGATGGTTACCTCAGTATTTGTTCCATTTAAGTTTGAAGAAAATGTTCCACCCTTAAGGGTGGCAAACTAATGTATGAATTCGGTTTCGCGCACTTTCCGATAACCGATTTCAATAAAACGTGGCAAATAGGTGTACTCGTAATTCCATGAACTTTTGATGTTGTTTTTACTTATAAAAAAAGTCATAATAGTCTTTTTCAGCTTAAAACATATACCCGGCATCAGCGTAAATAAATATAATGCTGTTCATGATATCGCCATTACCATTGTGTCCGAGGAAATGTCCATAATAATTTTTTATATTTGCAAACTGTTGTGTCACCGAGGTCGATAAAACGTTTAAATGGGCTACTTAAATACATAATATTTTCAGTTTAATTGTAAAATTATATTTTCCTTTATCTTTTGTTTTCCTGTTTGTGGCCT